CAACAACAACAACAACAACACATATGAAAGAACGCAGCTGACCAGAAAACAAAAACAGAAGCATAGAGCTTCCATAATCATCCTGTTCCAAGGCCTGGGAGAACAACAGGATTTTAATTCTTTTCAGAAAGTCATTAAAGTGGGGGCGATATGGATCCCATTTTAATCCCATTATCCTTTACATTTTTTGCATTTTTTTTCATTCTAAGCAACTTAAAAAGCTAATACTTGTAAACCTATGTAACCAGATTATAGAAGACGAATTATAATGAACAAGTATGTAGTAATAAATACAGTTGATGTTCTGGAAGCCCAGTGGCTATGGCATACAAGATTGCACTGAAGGTTGTTGGGCTATTGGAATAATTCTGTTTTAATATTTTAATTATAAAGCAAAGTGGTCTTTCAAAGTGATGTAAATGAAATAGGGAGATATAAGCAAAATACCACCCTGTTCATTATAGTCCTAACTTAAGGTGGTAAGCTAACATCTTTCTCCTTGTCCCATTTTACAGATGAAGAGAAAGTTGGACCATGGCTCCGAGGTCCGTTCTTTCTCACTGGGAAAGAAACCCTGTAAAGTCTCAGAATATACAAGGTAATTCAGTGTAATAACCTGTCATCTGTTTCAGATACTTTATTGTATGCTGTACAGACACCTATTTCATGTTTATACCAAAAGCAAATTCAGTTCTCTCTGCAAAGGACTGAAATTTGACATTTAAGTATTAAGTGCAGAAATATTTTAATTCTGAATTGGGAATAATGGGTTCTTATAAGGCTTTATTAGCACTCCCCCCATGCAAAGAAACTTGCAGGACAGGATATTTATCAGTTTACTGGACTGTTTGGAATATAGAATTGACAATATATCTGATGTTAATCATAACATCCTTGCATGCAACAGCATGATACTTCCTGACTCATTGAAATATAACCTTACCACAGTGTGGAGTTCCATTTATAAATTAAAGAAACATGCATTCATCATGAGCTAGGCTTGTCAGTTTATCAACCCTTTAATTTCTTTTGGCCAGGAATTTCAGTATCAGTGCATTCAGTTCAGCTTTACTACTTACTGGTTGCCATAACAACTAAATACAGTTCTGCTGCATTTTGTCATGTACAAATCTGCATCACTGTAAAATTTACTTGCTTTAAGAGGCTATTTATCTACTCTTTAGATATAAATTCCTTTCTAAACTCTTTATGAATTGAAATATATTCATTTATATAAGTTACAGTTATGTATTCAACACTATTATCTCTAAGAAATGAAAAATAATTATATTGATAATTTATTAATTGCTGAAGTTAACATTAAAGAAATGAGAACTTCTTAATCCATTTTAACCTAATTAGTTCTAAATTAAATTCTGGAGAAAAATAATATAGACACTCCTATAAAAATGCATTTTTGAAGACAACATTACTATAAGCTCCTTGATATTTTCTTGGATTTGAATTACAGATAGAATATTTGTAACTGATTTCACATAATTTAATAACCTATATCCATGAACTCAGAAATTCCTTCAGTATTAGCACTTTATTACACCAAGTGAAAAGAATAGCTGTATCAAATAATAAAAATTAGTTCTATATTATAATGTTAAAAAGAAATTTATCAAATATTTTACACTATGAAAAATCAAGTAATTTAATTTGCACTCGAATGCTATCATTAGTAGGAGTTAGATCCAAATTTTGCTTTCAATAGAAGAATGTAATGAAAAATGATAAAATAATGCTGTTAAACACAAAAAGCTATCTAATACACCGAATCGGTTAGTTGGTCAATCTAGACTCTTTTTGACTTCTGTTCTCCCTAACTATATTCTCTGAAGCACAGGTTTTTCGTAGCCCTACTTCCTGAAGTCCTTCTAACTGGAAATACTAGGAATTAAACATAGAAAGCCATACCTCCATTTTACTTTTAAATACATTTTAGTATTCACATACCAATGTTTTTCAGATATGTAGCCCTACAGTAATTTGTAGTTTTAGAAGAACTGGAAAGGAAATAAGTCAGCCACTAAATATTCAAAACGTATGTTAGCAATAAATGCCCTGATCAGAAATAATATGATTTCAAGCCTATAATTTCTATGCAAAGATTATTGCTGTTGAGACATTTTGTTAACCAAAGTATTTTTCATAATGTAATCTGTTCAAAGGCAAGTCCATATGCAATATGCTTGTAATCAACAACATACCTTAAGACTGAAATTATTTTAAAACTTGAATATTTTCTTATCTCTACTTTTTAATGCTTTTAATTTGGGAGTTGATTCAAATTTTATTTTTAGGTGTTTTGATTAACATTTTAATAAAAGTGTTAATTTTTGGATTATTATACATTATATAATTATTATAAATTGTCATTTTGGATTATTATTATATAATTTCAAATATTATTTTAAAAATGCAGCTGCTCAGAAATACTAATGTGGTTTGCTAGACACTCATTTTGTACTTCTGCTAGTGAACAATCCAGAACAGACTTGGATGGTTATAAAGGGGAAAAGGAAAAAGAGAAAGTTGAATAATTAGAAGTCCAGTTACATAATATTGAATGTTTTCAACTGAGGGCTGCAGGATCACTTGCACGTTAACTATTCACAAGTATAGGTGCAACAAAATGTTGGTGCATTATTATTTTTCAGCAGAAATGCTTCTGCTCTGGGTGTATTGCCAGCCCTCTATGTCTTCCCTAGCATACTACAACTTGTAAAATACTCCACTGGGGTATTTTAATCCTTGCTCTATTTACCGCTTTATTTTCAATGGACAGTCAGCATTCCATGATTACTGAGTGTACTAATTCTTGCTGATGTATTTTCAAAAGTTTTATTGGGGGGCTGCTTTGCCTTTGCTTTTTAGTGTGCATCTGTGGGCTTTTTTTATAAAATCAAGTTTCCTGTGAGTATAGTGCTGCTCCCTCTTATTTCCCAGTGACTGTGTTTTTGCTCTATTTCTGTTAGCACTTTCCACATGAATTCACTTTGAAGTTTTATGGCTAAGATTCAACATATTACCGAACAAGTTCTATGTGCCCCGGTGACTCTAGACTGGTATATAAACCCCGGGACTCTGAGATTTAAAGTAATTTGACTAATTAACTGAATGTCAAAAATATAAAATCAAAAATACTAGTGAGTCTCTATAAGCCCTTTGATGCATCTAAAGTAATACCTCAGATTCACCATTACAGCTTTTAGATAGCATTCCTTATTTCAATTAATTAAGCTAAACTTGACTCCAAGTTTTGTTAATTTTATAGTGTTTAATTATAGCCTTTAGGAAGTTTCATAGGCTTGAAAAATATCAAAAGACTGAATTTGTAAAAGAAATAGGATTGGGTAAGATTGTGCTAGTAATAATGAAATTTGCTTAAATAATTAGAATCAAGTTTGCTGATGGCAGTGTTATATTTAATGGAAGTAAATATTTCTGGAATCTGAATTGATAATTCTTTCTGCCACAGCACTACTGGGCTTGTGCCTTGCTCAGCAACACCTACTACTTTTGGAGATCTGAGGGCAGCCAATGGTCAAGGACAGCAACGCCGCCGCATTACATCTATCCAGCCACCAACTGGGCTTCAGGAATGGCTGAAAATGTTTCAGGTAATAATAAGTTTCTTTAACGAGCTATTTGGAATAATTCAGAATACCTGGTGAATTGAGGGAAAATCTATTAGAATAAATGCAGACTATTTCACTACAAAGTTACACCACTTTTACTTTTCTCTCTTTATTCTTCTCTTGAAATTATGAACATTAATACTCTGTGTTCTATGTATCCTGCTGTTTCTTAATGCAAATACTAATACATATTATTTAACAATTGGCCTTTTCTGGATGTATTAAATTAATTAGATATGTTTAAAGGCATAGTACTAAGGATAAAGCAAAATGTATGGACTCAATTACATTGGTGATGGGTGCACCATTGGAAGACCTGAAGGATCAGGTTAGAGACAGATTGTCATGGAGTATGTGTCTTATGTGGTTGCTAAGAGTCAACACCAACTTGATGGCACATAATCACAAAGAATAAAGTTTTTTAGTTCTTAATTATAAATGAAAATGGAAGATTATTTCTAATTTGAAATACTTCATACATTAAAAATAGAATTAAAAAACCACTTCATATAGAAACCCTTGTGTGTAGTACTGGTTTAAAACTGATTAAATGCAATAACATTCACCAGTAGAAATTAACATGTTGTAGTTTCTAATATTTTTGTTCTTTCTGTAGTTTGTTGAATATAGTTACTGCCACTGAATATTTAAAAAGTCAATACAGCATGTAATATAACATTAGCAGCTGTTTACACGCAGCATGAGGCCTAAAAGGCAATAAAACTACAATTATCATCCTTGTTAGACTATCTTGAACTGTTATAAAACTAGTGAACAATAGTAACAAAATTAATATTTCTTGAATAAGCTTAATACTATAGTTAAAATAATATTTTTCAAAATATATGCAGTCAAACAATGAACATGTATAGATTCAAGAGCAAAACTGCATATTAGTAAAAGTGTGTGCATGTTGTGATTCCCTAGATATGTTGGAAAATGTCCTATGTAGGATTTCAGCTTCCTGAAAATCTGATCCTAATGCAACTTTCTTGGTATAAATATATTTTTTAAAAAGATGAAGAACCAAAACCTAGTGTTCTATATGAAAATTGGAATCTCAAAAAGAAATACCTTTGGCCCTGATTATTCAAACAGAACCAATTATTGTGCTACCTATGAAATATAATTCATGTTTGGTATGAAGAAGTATTTATTTATTTATTTGCAATATTTGTAGACTGCCCTACTCACAAGGCTCTGGGTGAAGCAAGCAAGAAATACAGAAAATAATGGAAATAAAATATAACAAACCTATATGTGCTACATGTATCTCTAGGGAAAGTCTATTCCAGAGCATGCCACTTGGGGCTTGAGTTGAGGGGGCTCTCCAGCACTCTTTAGATATGCCAGAATCAGTTTTGGCAAGGGTGTATCTGATGCATTCAATTGCTATACCATAGCAGACTTCTTAGGTGATAAGCAGCAATTTGAATTGGGCCCAGAAGCCTATTGGTAACCTGTACGGTGACTTGAAAATGGATGCTATTTTGTAGTGGTGGGATCATCGCCCAAAACAGTGTGGCTCCTGCATTCTGGACTACTTGCATCTTCCAGGTCATTTCAAAAAGCTGCCCCACATAGAGGATGTTGCAGTGGTCCAAGTACAATCAGCTGTAGTTTAAATAAATGTGGATTATGTAGTATAATCCTAAACACACACATCTACAACAGAATGTTGAAGCTGAAGAAATTTTACATTTTGGAAAGGGTAAGTTGAAGCCCTGATTTTAACCCATTTGAAATGTTCAAGCACCTAGATAGTCCAAAAATATCAGTGAGTTGAAGCAGTTCTGTAAAGAGAAATACCAAAGTATCTCCAAGCTATGTAGGATTGTCTTAACAAGTACTGGAAACATTTGGTTGACGTGATTTCCACTAAAGGTCATGCTATCAGTTATTAAATCCAAAACTGCACATATGTTTTGCAACAAAACCGTGAATGTTAGTTCAGTATGTTCAATAAAGACTTAACACAGTTCATTGTTTTGGGTATTGTTTGTTTAACAAGAATCTCTTTACTAATAGAATTTAGATGAACCTCTGATCACATTTTAGGCTCACAAAGATATTCTTATCAGTATATCTTATAATTTAAGAAACATGTTCCCACTTAATGCTTTCCAAGGGCATCAAAAGCAGACTGACAGTCCCAGTGTCTCTTGAGGATACTGGAGTATAGAAGGGTGAACTGGTTCAATGAGTAATATGTATCTTAATTATAAGGTAAATATAGAAATTTCAGTGATATCTTTCTTGCATGTTTTGGTATTTGACAGTTAATTGCCAGTAGAATATTCATACAATCAAAACAAGCATATAAAATACTTAACCATCTGGGATTTAAATATCACTCAAATTATTTTCTGTCTCCTTACAAAAAAGACTTTGTTTGCAGTCAGTGTGCAATTTATATATACCCCTAAATCTCAAACTGAGCAAACTCAGGGAGGCAGTGAAGGACAGGAAGGCCTGGCGTGATATGGTTCATGGGGTCACGAAGAGTCAGACACGATTTAACGACTGAACAACTAAATCTCAAATGATACTTTTTAATTGTTGAAAGAAGGCATTCTTGTAAAACCATAATACATTATAGCAATCTAAACTTGTAAGTATAGTTTGCAGACTCATGTTTAAGGAAGTACAATTTAAAGACTGAATATGTAGCATTTTTCATTGCTAACTTCAGAAATAATGTTATATTAGCCACTTAAACCAGATAATGATATAATTGTAGCTCTATGTGAGACTACCTTTGAAGATGACTTAGAAGCCACAACAACTGGAACAGAATGAAATGAGTTGGTAGGTGAGACTCACTATTGCTGTTAATCTGCTATTTTTGCAGATGTGCACTTTATTAAAAGTTCAAATTTCATGCTGCCCGTTAGTAAGGATATAAAGAAAAATAGCTACAAAATTCCTTCATTCTTTTCTAGTGGAAAATTTTATTTTAAAATATTAGTTTAAAAAATATTAGAGGTAAGAATTAGAAACATTATAGCATGACAGATATATATGGAGCAATAAGAACCAAATGAATGTTAAATGAACTGGGGGGGGGGGATCTCCAAAAAGTCTAAATGGTAGTCAGTTCTTTTGTACATGTGTTGTTGTCCCACAGAGGGGCAGGGCTTTGATCATATGGTTGTGACCACCATTGTGACTTCTTGACCTGTCTACAGATAACTGCTGAAACTATAAATACAGAAATCATGTTCATACGTATTAGGTTTTAGTAATTTAGTAATTTTAATGGTCTTTCCTAGGGTTCCACAAAGCCTTGAAAACCTGGCTCTGGTCCCAGGCCTGGGGTTGATGTTTATCATTGTTTAATGGCCCCTGTTTTGTTTTGTGGATTTTGTTAGCAGATTATTTTAGTCTGGCCTGCCTGTTGATTTAATGTTTCTTGCTGTTTTTATGTTTTTTTAGCTTTGTACACCACCCAGAGTCCACTGGAGTTGGCTGGTCAATAAATTTAAATAAATAAAATAAAAATAATTTTTTCACTTCAAGAGTTTATTATAACAGTTTCCAAATATTATAAAACCTTTCTAATTTTAATATATTGAAACAATAGTATGAAAAGTAAATTTAATTTTGTACCTCTCAGAGCTGGAGTGGACCGGAGAAGTTACTTGCCTTAGATGAATTGATTGATAGTTGTGAACCTACCCAAGTGAAGCATATGATGCAAGTGATCGAACCCCAGTTTCAACGAGATTTCATTTCCTTGCTCCCCAAAGAGGTGAGGATTCTCATTTAATATTGGGCTCTGGGTACTTGTTTGACTAAGTAATCCACCATTTGCCACCTTAAAGCGTTTCCTAACTAATTATAGTCTTCAGTATTTTCAGTGTAACACTGTTAATTGGTGTTAAAGAAGTCTGGAAGGTGACAAACTGCCATGATTTAATAATGTAGTTTTTAGCTTAAATGCTTGCAAGACTAGTGGGTTTTTTTCAGTGACTAATTTATGTCCCAGGCTGCTTTGTTATAGTCATTTTTTATTTGTAGTTTTCTTGAAGCTTTACAACTAATTTAAAATAATTTAGATTGAATACTTTCTATGTTGTTGGCATTTAGCTTCCTGAAGGATGGATATTATCTTTCCTGGGGACTAGTTGTCATTTTGTACAATATAATTTCCTGTAGAGTTTGTTAGGATTTTCTTTTGAATTAAGTGGACAAAGAATCTATTTGTTCAAATATATAAATTTTATATTTATATTACAAATATTTATATTACAATGTAATATAGCTATTACAACCAAATATAAGCAAGTCTTATTCATTCATTCAACTTTTATGGCCACCTATTCACACATAAGTCTGGTTAGCTCACAAGGTTTAAAACAGTATAGCAGTTAAAACAAAATTCCTATAACCATACCAGAGGAAAAAGAAAACATAATTACAAAACATTCTACCATACTAAAAGGTACTCCTGATGCCTTAGGTCAGTGCCTGTAGAAAGAGCCTGGTCTTCAGCATTTTCTTGAAGGCAGGTAAGTTTGGATCTGTGCAGATCTTGAGGGAAATGTTCCAGAGGGCATGTAAATGACAGAGAAAGCACACTTCCTCATTCTCATGAGATTACATTGCTTAATAGATGAGATCTAAAGCATCCTAACTTTGTTGAATCTTACCAAATGGGCAGACACAACAGGATACAACCAGTCTGAAAATATCTAGGCCCTATGCCATGTCAATTAGCTTATGGAATTGCAACCACAAGCCTACTGGCAGTGCAGCTTGTATAGTAGTGTTACAGGAGTGTACCGTGCCACAACTGGCACCACCCCATTCTGTAACAGTTGCAGATTCTGAGTGGTCTTCAAGGATACCCCTGTGTAGAACACATTGCAGTAATTTTAATGGAAGGCATCTAAAGCATGAGTGACCATGAGTAAGACCTCCTAATCCAGGAAGGGGTGCAGTTGGTACATCAGATGAATCTGTACAAAGACCTTCCTAAAAAGTAAATGTTTGGTTTAACTAAAACACTTTCTCATAGAAGATGTCTGCTCTATCTGTGAAAATTTTTAATAAAGTTGTCACAGAGAATACATGTGTTAAGGAAAGGCTAAGTGGACAACTAGGGTTTAATTTTTTTTTTAGTTGACCATTTTTCCAAAGAATGCTTTCCATTACTTTTAGTTTCAATTAATTGTTTTTTGGCTATCAATGAAAGTAGGGCTGAAAAAATGTCATCAGTATTCTGTATAATTTTGAGTATAAGATTATTCTGTCAAACTCCCCTCCCCTCTCCCCCTCCCTGTCCCAGTATCTCTTGGCAAATTTTAATGAACACATTTAACAGTATATCATACTGTTTTGATGGATGTATTTTTAAAAAGCCAGTTTTGAACAGTCAGAACCTTCAGCCTTTCAGAATAGATGTTGCTTGGTTGGCTGTATTTTTTAATCATTGCCATCATCTGTATCATCATTCAGAAAATGTAATATTCTAAACATATTTGTAGGGTTATGTCTTGTTGAAATGTGCATGGAAGGAACAGAGAGTGCAGGTATTATGGTGCTAAAAGATGATGACATTGGCCTAAAGGAAAGTAATTCAGATTGCAACATTCCACTCTGCTTCCCAAATTCACTAACTCTGGTCGCTTCCCCGCAATCTCCTCTGGTTTGTAGTATAGCTTAAAGAATGCCTGGTCAATCAATATTCTGTATCAGACTTAATTACAGGATAGAACACTGTCCTACCTTGTATTATGAGGATCAGGTTAAACATGGAGGGAGATATTAATCATTCCCAAATATGGCTTCCATGGGCTTTGGCAGAGTGGTAGTCTTGACATGGGAGGTGGAGAAGGTGAGTAGCCTGGGTTTAGAACAATTATATCTTCTCAGTTGGATAGTTTATTAGAGCACTTAACCAGTTCTATACCCAGTGTTGGGATATGGATAAAAGGCTTGGATTTCTTTAGTATAGTAACCACCTAATTACCTAACAGCTTCTCTGTCTGAGCTGGTTATAAGAGGCTGGTGGGGGGTTTTTTGGTGGGGGGGGGCTGCCTTTGAGTCAGGTTTTTTAAAAAAACAAACTCCTGGCAACTGCCTGGACAAGTCCCTGCAGTTTTCTTGGCAATGTTCTTCGGAAGTAGCTTGCCATTGCCTTCTTCCTAAGACTGAGAGAGAGTGGCAGGCCCAAGGTCACCTAGCTGGCTTTGTGCCTAAGGCAGGAGTAGAACTCGCAGCCTCCCAGTTTCTAACCTGATGCCATAACCACTACACCAAACTGTCTCTCTTCAAGAGACTGGTAGCTGTTGGAAATTCAACATTTCCAAAAATTGTTGTTATAAGATCATCTGTTTGAGAGGAGCTTGGGGCTCTTACTGTCCATCAATGGAATAATACTCCAAAAACAGATCAGTATGAAATTTGGTATGGGGAGAGAAGCCAACAAGAGAAAGTTCAAAAATGGGCCAGATTCACCAAGGACTGCAGAGAAAAAAAATCTGGGAAAAAATCCCCAGTGCATCCTTATAGGAGAGACAGTTGGGAAGCAGCTTGGAATGCTGCTGCCTCCTCCATTCTAAGCTTTGCTGTTGTTGCATGTTGAACTGAAGTTCTTTCATACCTTCTTTCTGGGTAGACTACCCACTAGGGAAGCCTAACAAACTGGAAACAATTTGCTTATGTGTATTGCTTTTCACCATAACGTCTAGGATATATAACCTTTTAACTGACTGCCTCTTTGAATGATTTTCAACCCACCTACCTAGGTTGGGCATGCCAGACTCCAGATATTATGTGGCCAAAGACAAAATGTCAAAGATGTGGAGAAATCTGTGGGAATTATGCCTTTCCCCAGAAACATAGTTGTGTCTTGTCCTGAAAACATTTACAAAACGCACTGCAAGGACAGCAAGGATTTTAACTCCTTTTAGCAGGCTTACAGAAATGTAGACTAGTGACAAGGTTATCTTTGAAAATGCTCTCACTAAAACTTCTACAATTAGCAGTTGCTTGTTTTAGAGGTACTCCCAGTTTTTAGCACGTACTTCTTTATTTGGCTTTGATGATCTGTAGAAAAGAGAAATAACAACCTTCAGGTGTATCTATGCTTTATTCATAAATCAAGTGCAAGCAAGCATACAAGGAAGCCAGGCAGAGTTTCTCATTCTGTTACAAATAAATTGTTCTTACATTTCAGCCAGAATCTTTACACAGTTGACGTAAGTTTTAATTTAGATGATCAGTCTAAATAGCAACCAAAAGATGGCAAAGGCAGATGCTTAAGTGTATTATGAAGGGAAGAGAATCTGGATTCAGCAGTATTGGTCCTTCCAAAGATGTAGGCACCTTACCCTGTATTTTTATACATTTTTAAGGATTCTGGTGGGTTATATCTATCCATTCCGCTCTGTGGCTTCCAGCTTGGTAACAGAAATCTTGTAAGCCCCATAATTAATCCTAATTTGTCTTAAAGGTGGTTCAAAATACCTTTTAACGTTCATAGAATTTTAGAATTGTGGAGTAGTCCAACCCTCTGCATTGTGCAGGAAAATCAAATCATCTGGAAGAGGTGGCTGTGCAGCTTCTTCTTTAAAACCTTCAGAGATAGAAAATCCACAACTTCTGTAGATAAACTGCTTTGTACAAATCTTACCATCAGGAAGTTTTTTTGGTCATATTTAAGGAAAATCTTGGTAACTATAACCTGTACCCATTATTTCTGGTCATAGTTTCTGTAGTTGTGGGAAATCGTTCTTGACTATCTTCTCTATGGCACTAATTTATGTACCCGAACACTGATGCCGTTTCCCATCACTCCTCCTTTTTCCTTTCTCCAAACTGAACGTCACAAGTTTTTTCAGCCTGTCACCTACCCCTAATCATAACCTGTCAATATCCTGGAAATGTGATGCCCGGTATTGTACACAGTACTCTAGTTGTGGCCTCACCAGTGCAGAGTAGAGAGGAATAATAACTTCATGCATTTTTAATATAGTGTTTCTTGTAATGGATCCCAGAACTGTATTGGCCCTTCTAGGAACTGTCTTAGACTGCTGGCTCATGTTCAGTTTATTGTCAGTGACCACACCCAAGACCTTCTCCAATGAATCTCCCATCTTTTTTGGGTTCATTACATTTTTTGTCCTAAATGTAGTATCTTATATTTCTCCCTGTTGAAAGACATTTTATTATTCACAGCCCAGAGTAATAAATTGCAAGTTGTTCTGATTAGATTGCATCTTATTCTATCATCTAGTGTGTTGGCCAAATCTCCCAATTTTGTATTATCTGCAGATATAACAAGCCACCCATCGACGTCATTGTTTGTTTGTTTACTTCCTTACAGGAGTTATATGGCCACCTATCTCATATAATGATTCTAGGCAGCTCACAACAATCCATAAAAACAAAGATAAAGACAGAAGTACCCTTTCCCCCAAGTGCCAGACCAAACAGCCTCCCAGCTCAACTGCCCAGTTCTTGGGGGAAGAGACAGGTCTTCAGGGCCCTCTGGAAGGCTAATAGGATAGGGATCTCTCAGGTGGGAGGCTGTTCTTCTTGGGATGGCTACCAAGAAGGCACACCTCTGAGGTCCCATCAGGTAACAACATTTAAGGGATGGGACTTGGAGAGCACCCACCTATCTAACCTAGTAGAAAGGCAGATACCCTCAGGGAGAAGTCCTGCAAATAACCTGGCCCTGTGCTATTTAGGACTTTATAGGTAATAACCAGCACCTTGAATTGCACCTAGAAAGCAACTGGG